CGCTCCAGGTATGCCAGTTTTTATTCCCTGGCCAAAGGTTGGATACTTTTCTCACAGGCCTCGTATATATATATATATATACAGTGAAGAATATAGAAGTTCACTAGTTTTTAAACATTTACCTTTTCAGGAGATTCTGCTTTAAGCAGCTGTTGAATTAACATATCTTGAGACTTTCGACTATTTCTGTCACTTTCCACTTCACTGTTTAAAAGCTAAAGACAGAAAAACATAACCAGATTTTGAACAAAACACAATCCCTTCTGATTTATAGCAATGTTTAAAAGTTAGTAGTGATAAAAACTAATGAAAACTTCTGACATTCTTTCACAATTACAAACAGTTAAAGTGCTTATTATGAACTCATACTAGAATTGATATTCAATGTCAGGGTAATTTTCTTCAATAACCTTTACAAATGTGTAAAATATCTTCCAAGATGAAAAGCATATAATCTGTTGCTCACAGTGCAACACACTATTTAATATAATCTTCAACCATAAGTACATTAAGCATGTGGCTTAGCCTCCCTAGACCTAATTTTTACATCAATTACTATTAAACTAGCTTAATCCTCAAATTGCTATCTTCTTATTATATTCACTACCAATACACTCCACAACATGTACTCACTACCAGTGGACTTCGGATACTGTATTCACTACCAGAAGACTCCACATACTGTGTTCACTATCAATGTACTCCACAACCTGTATTCACTACCAGAAGACTCCACATACTGTGTTCACTGTCAATGTACTCCACAACCTGTATTCACTACCAGAAGACTCCACAAACTGTATTTGCTATCAATGTACACCGCAACCTGTTTCACTCCCAGTGGATTCCACAACTTGTACTCACTACCAATGGATTCCACAATTTGTATACACTACCAATGGATACCACAACCTGTACTCACTATCAGTGGACTCCACATCTGTATTCACTACCAGTGGACTCCATAAACTGTACTCACTCCCAGTGGACTTAGCCACTGTATTCACTGCCAGTGGATTCCAGATACTTTATCCACAACCAGTGTACTCCAGATAATGTATTCACTACCAATGAACTCAACATACAATATTCACTACCAATGAAGTTCACATACTGTATTCACTACCAGTGGATTCCAGAAACATAACCAGGAGGTAAGGGAGGGTAAAAAAACCCACCTCAACATTCTAAAAAAGTCTTAGAAGTCCACTATCTTCTGATTGTTTTTTAAATAAAAATTTGACTTTCATATAAATCACTTAAATTCTTTGTGTAGAAGAAAAGACCCACATTTTCGTTTTGGAAAAAAGACTTCACCATTCTGTAGTGCTTGCTATGACCCTGGTGTTCACATACTTTATTCACTACCTGTGGATTCCACATACTTATCTCAGTGAGTAATCTATGTTTGTGCCCATTAAATGCTCAATGTGAAAGAACTGTTTTAAAAACTGGGTGAAATCACTCGTTTTTATTGTAAGACAAATAAAGGATTCAGTACTAATTAGTGGCACTAATTCCAATATTGATGGTATTTCTTTTTTAGGTTATTTGAAATGAATAAAGTCAAGGACTCAAAAAGAAATTTGTTGCATATATAGTTTTTAAAATGTGTTTAAAAAGCCAATAGGATCCATAAACACCCATGGTTGGAATCAATAATGTGAGGGTTTAATACTGAAATTGACTTTTTCTTTATTATTATATGTTAACTTCTCTAAGGCATCATCTAGATTTTAAAGAAACCTTTTACAAAATATATTTGGCTAGTATATCAGTGTCGTTAAAAAAATTAATTGATTAATGTTAAATTCTTATAAAATGAATTTAAAATGATGAATAAACTAAAAATTAAAAATCATCAATAAATAGAACCAATTAATATATGATTGATTATAATTATATAAATAAATAAAATTGAAAAATATTTGCCACTGATACCTTGTTTTATAAAAACACATAATCTAATAAAAATACCAATTTATATACAACCATTACATTCATAAAAACATATTGTGAAATCTATACTACTGTTCACACAGTTGTTTTGTTTTATAACAGCATTATTTTACAAACCTTAATACTACAGCTTCAGTTATTACAATTGTTTGACACCAAAATAAAAGGTGCAACTTGTAGAGAAAAAATAACTGATACATTAAATAAATGCTTATTTTATTTATGATGTTAGAAAAACACGTAGGTTCAAGAAGTCTTGATAAAAATAAATAAAAAACCCTATAACCCGAGCGCTTTCTAAAGGTGGACCTTTCTTCTTCGGGGGAAAGTGGGAATCTGCTTATTTTATTTGTTATCAATAAGAGAAAATAAATTAAAATTAGATGAAATACAATCTTATTTATATATTATTTTAAGAGATATGTTTTGTACTACTAATCTCAATTTAATTTACATTTAAGAAATATATAGACATTAAACTTTGTTGCTTTGAGCTTGAATCAGTAACTAAAAAACATTGCACATTGGATTATTTACCACAAGCCTAAGCCTATAATGTAATGACACACTTTGAGTTTTATAAAACATATATTGCAAATGCATAACATTCTTAAAAATGTGTAAAACAGCACATGATGTTATATGTAATTAGTGATGTTATTACTACTAGCTTTCTTTGCATGCTTTCATGATGTTGCATTATGTAGTCTGAATAATTGGTAATGAAGCATAGCATTTAAAATAGCTATATACAAATATGCAACTTTCAAGTACAATAGATGGAACAGATTATAAAATAATTTGAGTAAATTTGGTTTCACAGGAAAGTGACCAGAAAGAGCTCCTCCAGGAATAAGCAAAGAAATCTGATGGGAACCCTAGAAGACTTAGAAAAAAACCTTAGATTTGAGAATTTTTTAAGTTTTTTTAGATATTCTTTTTATTCCTTAAAATGTTTTTGTCATAAATTATATTTATTTGAGAGCTAAAATACTTTTCTACTACAACAAGACATCAGGTACGTTTAATAGTCTAGCAGCCATGGAGAGTAACCCAGTTTTCTGTGATATAGTTTTTTTAATGCTGATTATTGCTCATCGGGGTGTGTGTGTGAAGATATCCAGGTGGATGTGGAGTTCTCACTTTTGGGCAAATTGAGAAAAATGAAAAAAACCGAGATGGCCACTATCAAATCAGAACAATTCATGGATGTCCATATCTTTGCAACTAAATAAGCTATAAGCATGATGAAACTATTGTTTTTTATGTTTTCAGGTGTGAGGAAGCCATTTCTGATGTTGTGTGATGCTATGTGTGAAAATATGCAAAATCAAGCATGGAATTCAAAAATTCTTTTAAAAGTCATTCTTTGTGGTATATACATGTATATTCAAATACTGGTAAATCAAATTTGTTTTGTAACCAAGTCATGCAAATAGTTTGCAAATTATAATATCTTTTCTTGTTAATAATTCTTTAAGAAGCACAAGCTTCCAATGGTCAACAAAATGACTACAATTGTCTTTGCAATTAGATAAGATCTAACCTAAATGGAATATGCCATTGTATATATATTTCAGAAAAAAATGTCATACTGAACTTGATGGCTACATCACTATATGCACTTGTATCAGCAACCAATAAGAAAAACATTGAAAATATTTTGTGAATCTATTTCTTACTTAGTTAAGACAATAAATTATATATATAATTGACACAATTATGTGATAAACTGAATTACAACACATGGAAACTAACTAGTCTGTTCTGATAACAGGGTAAAATGGATGAATTGTATATGTTTAAATCGAGATAAGAGGGTAAATGTGATCACAAACTTCCATGCTCTACTAATAGTGGACCAAGCAGAGTACAGGCCATCAATGATACAAGTAAAGCATATGGTGATGGTCTATTGACGGAGCTTCAAAAGAAATTCTTGCAATATCTGAATTTGAAAATTCATTACCACAAGAACTGTGTGTCTAAATATACATCAAGATAAATCTCATTAAATATAAGAGGCAGATAAACTTGATGAGGAAGTAGGGCCTTCTGCCAAACAACTATGGCATTCCACTAAAACATCTGATTTCTTGCAAAACTGTTTGTGGAGAGCCATGCCATATAGGCAGAGAAAGGAAGATGGAAGATCATATCCTGCCTATCTGTGCCACTCAATTTTTCAGAGCATGATAAAAGACCCTACAAGATTCATCTGCTTGAAAATTGTGATGAGCAAGCTGACCACTGAGCAGATGAAGTGAAAGTTCGAGTACAAGGTGCTCTGAATGATCTTCATGCTGTCAAAGCCCAGTATCACAAAAACTGCATGAGTCAGTTCTTTGTAAACAGATGTCTATTGCCTCAAGAACTAAAAACTGCATCCCATAAAGAAGACACTGATTCAGCACTAGAAATACCATAAAGCAATGTGTAAAAACAAAAATCAAATGTGGAATTCGATAGAACTGTTTGAAGAGTACAATATACTAGTCACTCAGGTGCCAAACTAGACAGGATTCATCGAGTTAACAAACTAAGGACACACTTCGGAAGAGAACTTCTTGTGCTATCATCAGCAGGTATTGCAAGCATAATCACCTTCTAAACAAACACTGCAAAGATGCCCAAAATTGTGAAAGATGATGATTTAAATGGAATCTTTTGTAGTATCGGAAAATTATCCAAGCAAATGACATTTGAGTGTAAAGCAATAACTTATGATAAATCTTGCATAGTCCTGCATGACGCTGCTGAATCTGTTTCAACAATATTACAGGAATTGTTGTCTAAGATATCTCCAAAATTCTCCAACTCTTTTCCAGCATTGTTGATTGGAGATATTGTAAGTGTCGTCAAAGGAGAAGCAATAAATCTGCAGATTGCACTTGGTTTGTTTATGAGAAACTTGAAGGAATTGCTGAATCATCTGTTTGATTACCATGTTACATGCAGCTATGATGAAGTGCTTTGATTCAAGAAGTCAGCTGCTGTAGCAGTGTCAAGTGATCTCTCTCAGCAAGGTACATCAGATGCAAAACATGGTCTAGTTAAAATTGTTTCTGACAATTTTCACACTGATATATCGTCCATGAATGGCAAGAAATCAACACATTCTCTGGCAATGATTATCATGCAACCATCAGGTACTGACAAGCCTTAAACGCAAAAGACTATTAAGAGACTAAAGAAAGATGAAATTGGCCAACCCACAACTGACAGCATTGAAGATTGTTCCCTAATATACTATGGC